ATATATATATATATATATAAATCGGCCGATATATCGGAATATCGGTTTTAAAACCAACAAATATTTGTATCGGTATCGGCCTTCAAAATCCTTTATCGGTCGGGCTCTAGTAGCTTGTTGGTTTTAAGGTAGTCTGGGCAAAATGTAAGTGAACGAATATGAAGTCCATTTAAACTGGTACCTTAAATCCGACAAGTTACCCTGATAAGCCAGTAACCCCGCTTCGTAGAACAGGCCGAAGAACTGCTGACAAACTCAGGGTTTAAAGGGCAGGGCAGTGTCTGAATCAGCAAGGTTTGGTAGTTTGAGATGGATTCTGTCGAATGCGAATGTTTCTTCTTCCAGTGATTAATTTGAACACCCGTCTTTAGCCTCATATTTCAAGCATCTCACACAGTGGATTTGCATTCATCTTTATACGTTTAATGTATTGCCCTCTTTTTTTGTTCCCTACTGGTAGCTTCTTATGTAGTATAGAACTGCCAAACAGATTGACTGCAAATGAATTGAAAGGAGAAAACCTTCCACAGTCTACATAACTACATGGGAAGCTAACTTCGTGGATATGTCTGTGAGATCTGCAGTGCACTACATTCTCTGTAAATTTGGTGCATTTTGCATCTCACACATACACGCAAGTTGGTCTTCCTCTCTAAATTCTAAGCTTTTAGGTGTCAGGGCATAATACAAATCATTTGGTCCTTACCAGGTCTTAAAATTAGGTATAATTTAGTCTGATTTGTACATTTTTTTACCAATCAAATGTGGTAAATCAGTCATAGATCTGTGTGTGTATCAGGCAGTGAGAAGGAAAATAGGCTGTTTTTATACATAAAGCTTCAAGTGAAAAAACAGCCTCTTTCCCTACTACAGGGGCGGTGAGTGGCACAGCCTGTCTCTCTGCCTGTGACTGGAAGATCGTTGGTTTGAGCCCCAGCAAAACAGTCACATGTTCAAAGGCCATTGAGCAAGGCCCTTAAAGTCGCCCCAATGCACTTTACATGGGTATGTTGTGATACATTACAGCTTCATAAAGAGAGAGTAATACAAAACATTAATGGACAACGGAGGCACTGCACATTGGCTGGCCCTATGCTGTAAGCTATGGAGAGCAGAATGGGGTTAGGGTTAGGGGTAGGCAAAGCGTGGAATTCCCATGTGCCCATACTTCCCCTTTGCAATGGCAAATTATGGATTTTTCATTACTACGTACCTGATACATTTACCTACGACTGACTGACCCCATTTGGTCACTATGAACCTGGTTCCGTCCTCATTTTGGTGTTTTGGCCAACGGTCTGTCATGTAGCCCTTATATTGCCAAGGCATATGGCCATAGATGTAAATATAGTGATAATACTGTATGTATTCAAATATATTTGTGAAATTTTCACATTTTGTCAAAAATAAAGTTGATACTGGGATATCAATTTACCTCTATGGCACATGGCCATAGAGGTAAATAAAGTGATATGTAAGCAAATATATCTATGATTTTTTACAAAATCACATTATCACGTCAAAAACAACATGGATATTTTGGTATTTTCATTTTCAAGTACAAAACGGCCCATTTCCCTACTACCTGCCTGATACACACTGACCACATTTGATATTTAATATTAAATTCACAAATCAGACTGGCCTTTATGACCTAGTTTGGTCCTTCTGGTTCACTTTTAAGGTATTTTGGTATTAAATCTCCTTCAATTCCACTTAGCCAGAGTTCAATAAATGTGCTAAGGTATGACCTTTTTCACAAAGGCAGGTATCAGTCACTGACAGACGAACTCAAATCAGACTTGTCAGTGTGAGCCTAGTTAGACGTAACGTAGGTAGGTACCTGTTTATATGGTCATTTTTTATTTTTCACTTTAATATTATTGAAATTATATTATTTACTATTATTCACTAGGAAATAAAAAAGCTAAGTACTGTATAATATCGGCAGACTTCGGGGGAGGGGGTAACGGCATCTGAATACACAAATCATGAGTCACAAAATGCCACTGTTTATTATTGTACACGTTACTGCACTATGGAGAAAAATTCAATGGAATCCCGAATCACTAACTGCAAACTCTTTACCGCAGTGATATACTGTATGAAAGCCTGCTATTCAAATTAACTTTGAATTGAATTAATCTGCTTGGAATATCAGGGACAGGGAGAATAATAAAGCAGGACGAGAAGCAAAACAACATAACATCACATCATAATGACGTGTTGACATGTTTGGTCGACATGCAATACAACAGTCAAACGACAGGGGGTGCTAAGATGACAGAAGTACAGTGAAAAGCTGAATTGACCCAGACAATTGTTTTGTCAGGTAAGCAATAGACATAGACAATCTCATTAGGCTACTGGTGTTGGGGTTGTGGTTGGTGCATCCCATTTTAACAAACTGTTTTGTTTAATTTAATCATTTTCCCCCACATGAAATTCATTACAATATAAATTGGAGTCTAACTGGTAAACATCGAATGACTTAATTTATGTGGCAACCCTTGAGAATCATTATACAATGCAATACAAACAAAACGATTCGTTAGGACATGCTGCACGGGCCACAGCCCTCACGGCAGTAGCTGCAGATGGGGTCTCCTGCTACCATGTGACACCTTGGAGTGAGTCGAGGCACAGATGGATCTGCTTAGAGAGGGAAATAAGTAGGGAAAGTCCATTCACAACCAGTAGAGGTGGGATAAGTCAGGGTCATAACAAAAGCTACAACAGCTAGATACGTCATTTTGTAATTTCATAGGAAAACTTTTTTGACACAAAAACACAAGTACAATGTTCTTACAATGCCCTTTATATATCCACTACAGTGGTACTTTGGAAAGCAAACTTAATTCGTTCCAGAAGGCTGGTTCAGTTGGTCAAGGTCCAAGTCGAATTTCCCCCTAAGAAATAATGTAAACGAATTTAATCCTTTCCAGACCCCCAAATGATTGAATATTTCAACTTATCTACCTACCTAATGGTAAAAAGCATTAATAATCAATATAAAACCAATCAATATATACACATATGAAAAAACACACATCCAAAAGCAATAAACATGTAATAAACGACAATCCCATACTCTGAAGCGAGAGCAGACACATGGGCACCACCTTCAAGTCTCCCTATAATTTCCTTTTTAAGTTCTAGAGGTACTCTCACTACTTTCCTCTTTGGTTTGCTGCCATCACTGCTCACTTTCTTAGGGGCCATGATAACTGAATCACTAAATGTACTATAGTTAAAGCACAAAAAATGACATACCGAACACAGCTTCCATACAGAGAATTCGGTCAAGAGGTACCACAAGACTGATAGATTCATAGGCATAAGCATCGCAGTAGGTCCATTTGTCAGCGAAGTGTCAGCCCATCGGAGATCTGTGCAAGTTTTAGCAGGTCTGTTTTGTTTTGTCACGTCCCGAGTTTTCGAGCAGTCGAGTTGCGGTTAGATTTTTCTCGACTGACCCATTGTCTGAACT